ATATTAATAATCGTGGAGATAATACCTATAACGGTAATTAACTAGGCCGAACTCGAGTCTAGAATAAACCCGCCCTTGGATTATTAGTAGTAGCTTCTACTACTACATTATATAATTTAGTATACTAATATCTAATACCCAAAATATAGTACTCTATATTACTATACTTAGATCTAGTATTTCTATTACTTATTAATAATAGCTACTTTAAGCTATAGTAGTTAATACTCTAGCAAAACCAAGAAGCAATCGAATATCTACTTTATCGTTATTATTATCTCTATAGTCGGATTGAATAACGGATTTCTAAGCTTCCTATATATAATATTTGATATATTCTTTATGAAATTATATTGCAAATAGTAGTAGTACTATAACAGACTATTTAGCGTAGTTGGTTAAGGTATGATTTAGAAGGTAAGAAATAAGCGAAGGCAACGAAGTCCAACCGGAAGGAAATAGCTAATACTATATAGTACGGTTATATTCGGTGCGCGCTTTCAGTATTAGGAAGATATTCGAAAATATCTTATAGGTCTCAGCTATAATGCCTTTATATTTGGAATAGATTAGATTGGGAGGCTGTTTTAAAATTATATTAAGGGCTAGTATTAGATTAAATAATATAGGCTAATCGAAGCTAATTCCACTATTAAATTCTGTATATAGCCTAATTGCCTTGAGTATTTATATTAATATTAATTTCGTATTTTATTTATATGTATTAATAATAATACCGATTAATATCTAGCTAGAACCCTTCCATGACATTTTATTGATTGATAATGTAATTTAGGCCGATATAGCAGAATTGACAGAATTCATAGCCAGCCATACCAACTATACCAACATTTTGATTTTACTGTAGCATGTCGCTAGTATAACACAGGGTAAATACTAATACTAAAGTTAGCCGACCTTCAATTTGCATTATTATTATACCTTGATCTAAAGGTATTAGATGTTCTAAGGCTTTAACAACGTTGTTAAAATTTAATATATAAGGTCCCCATATAATAGGGAAAATACTAGTATTACGAGCTTATATATTGTAAGGCAAGCCGGCAGGCGATTAATATACCCCTATAATAAATCTATATATATTACAATACATACTAAATCTATTGATAAAAGTTAGAATTGCGTAATTAATTACCTTAAGGCCGGGATTATTAATTATATCCTAGTATTCTTCGAATAAAGTACGGCCAAATTCTTTAATTTCTAGTTGAGCTCGAATAGGGGGTATGAACGCAAGGGGGAATATTTTGAACTTAGTAGTAGAGGTACCTCCGGGATTTTTGTATAGTAAATTAATGTTAATCTAATATATATTTGCCTCATCCTTTCCAGCCGTATCCAGGACACGGCGAATAAAGTACTACCTATCCTCCTATTTAATATGTAATTCTATTAAATACTTTTTAAACCGTCTTTTTTCCTTCTTTCTAATCTAAAGTAGTAGATTAGGGTCATCAAAAATATTACTATCAAAATAATCAATAATAACAAGTACAAATTAATCAACCTATTCCTAAAACATCTAATATTCTTAATCGAGACGTATAATTAATTCGTACTATTTAAACCTTATATTATAACCAATTTAGTAATAGGTACCAAGTCCCGGAAACTCTTACCCTATTTAATTAATATTTAGACATTTATTAATAATTAAAGTAATTTCGCTAATATACTACTCGACCTCGGTAGTATAGTTCTTACCCACCGCCTTTATACGGCCGATATAGATGTAATAGTCGGGGTAATCGTCTAATAAGTAGTAAATATAATTACCGGTCTCTCTATAAAAGTAGAAGTAGATAAAGTCCGATAGAAAGATAGCCTTCTTAGTATTTTCTAAATTTAAGGTGCTATTAAAGTATCTATATTCGCCAGAGGTAGTTCAAACGGATAATAACTAGCAAAGAGTATAATACAACTCTGTTGGATTATCGACAAAATATACTATCCCTCTGTACATTATTATTACAACGGTGTCCGAATTAAGGTAAGCCTGGAGTAAAGAATATAGGTCTATAAAATACAGGGCTCTCAGGACTGTGGAAGGATCGGAATTAATTTTACCCCCTTATTCTTATTCTTATTATTATTCTTATTCTTATTATTATTATTACTATTGTTACTATTATTACTATTATTGCAATTACTGTCTTTTACAACTAGCTGATTCAATATTTATCTTTAAAGTCTATAATAGGACGTTAACTATACGCATATCCAGTAGTAGTAACCGTCGGGTTGTACGATTTTTCAAAGTCTCTAATTATTTTGGTAGGTATTGAACATCGATTATAGGTCTACCGTCTTAGCTATATAAAATACCTAGAACTTCCACTTATGCTTTATACTATTTTTGTAAGTGCTTATTAATAATAATATATAAGCTAATAGCCAAATAAAAATCCGACAAAAATTCGTATCGATTATAATAATAATAGATTAATTCCGACGTATTAGAAATAAGGCTACGGGTTATAATACCTTAGAGAATTTCTAATTCTTCTTCGATTTGTTCAACCCATTCATCTACAAAATCCTCTTCGAATATAACGGTCTCTAGTTTTTATTAATTAAATTCCCGCTCATTATACTCGAAATTAAATCGCAACTATTCCTCATCGAACCCAATAGAAAGAATATCATTAGCATTTATTAGATCTTCCAATCTGCGCCGGATGTTTGTAATATCTATACCTTCAAAAATATTGTCTTAATTAATAATACTTAGGAGAATAATTAGAATCGGCTTTCATTTAAGAAAAAATCAGACCCAACTCACCCTCGCTGTTACCCTCATCATTAATATCCTCCCAATTATCGTTATTGTCGTATGCCGCGCCCGCATTAGACATAACCGTATTATTATCAACATCGACCAGCGGGGCAAAACTTAGTAATTTTAAACGTCATAATTAATTAGGTTAATATAAATATATACTAGGGAGGGGTACACGTCTACTATAACCAACCCTGAGTAGTAGTAGTGTATTAATAATACGATTTACTTATAAGGGGGTATTATTGTCTTTACTTACTTTAGTCCGTTAATGAGGTATAGCGGAGTTGAAAAGACTATAAGTACTAAATAATCTTGAGATATGTAACTGAATGCGTAAATGAACAAGATAACCAGATTCGAAGATAACGGATAGGAGTTAAATATAAAAGGAAGAGTTAGAATTAATAGATTAGATTGTATAAGGCTACTTACGAGTTTAATAGAAGTACATTCTAGAAATTAAGACCCTATTATACTTTATAGATTAAATGGGTATTTATTTAATATAATATAAAGTACGAACTATAGATTATAGTAAATAACTAGTCGTATATTATTTAGTATATTAAAGTTTAGATAAACCCTTTCCTATACCGAGCGACCCTTGTTAATAATCCCTTGCTAAGATAGCGTACTTTATATTTACTACCTGTTCCTATAGTTAACCGCCTCCTAGACCTACTCTACACCGAATGTAAATTGATACTATAACCTCTATTACTATATTTACCTCTAGCGATCGTTATTAATACCACCCCGCTATTTTATCTAGTCTTTCCTTTTTAAAACCATTTACGAGTAGGGAAAGTACTAGAATAGTATTATTATTAATAATGCCCCGTTATTGAGACCATTCAATAGCCAATAGCGGTGGGTAGAATGTAGTTAATTATATAGCACTGCGCGATTTATTTAAATCCTAGTATATTTACGCCGGCTAGAATTGCTTAGAAGGTAGCCATCAAGCAAACAAACGAAGAGTCACACGTCGATATTACTGTACCCCGCTGTCTCATTTCAACTTTCTAGTAGACTAGAAGGTAATAGAACTATTATAATTATATTTACTAACTGTTATTATTGATAAATACTAGTCACCTGCCGCTATATTATTCCCCGCCGTCCTAATAAGTTAAGAGCATTGTGTAGTGTAAATCAAACTACAAATTTTAATCCGCCTTCTCCCCTATTTAAATTTTCCCTTCTCAACTCTCCTTTCTCAAACTTTTACTCCCTTAATACCGACCTCTTCAAACTAACGAATTAAATAGGTACTCGCACTTTAAATCAAATTAGTTAGCCCACAATTATTACTACTAAATCTATTTCTTACTTTGCAAGCTATTCCTAACTATAGTTACTATAAGTATTATCCTATTTAATTGCGCGCGCGATACGGATTGTAATTGATATTATTATTTAAATAGAAGGCTTAAGCTCTATAAAGAGGAAGCGGAAACCCGCCTCCTTAGCGAAGAGGACTATTAGCTTCGAGGGTTATTAAGATGATACTTGCAACGATTTTTATGAGGATGACTGTTTCGACTACTATAAGTTTAAACAAGATATAGAATAGCCCGCCAATAGTGCGCCTACATCGCCTACCGATATAAGCTATGCCTAGCCTGCGCAAATACCTAATTATGCCTAGTAGCGCTTGGATATTGCCGGCACCCGTAAATAAGCTCTCAAAGTATAGGAATAAGTAAATTTATAATCTATATTACCGTTAGTATATAATATTAATATTATTAATAGGATTAGCGCCATATTAGTTCACCGGCTGGACCGAGCCTGCGCACTGTAGTTAAAAAGACTCTGAAAAAGAATTACGCCGAATTAAGTACAACTACTTCAACCGACCCCTTAACTAAGGATTCCCAGGCGGCAACCTGTTAATTATAGGCACCCTATTAACTACCCCGTCGACCACCCGGTCAACCGCCCTATTAACTACTCCGTCAACCTATTCCTACCCTTAATATAATATTATATAGCCGTTATAAGCAATAATATCAATAATATCCAGGTTAAAATATCGTACCTCGCCTAAACTTTCTATAAGACTTATTAAGTTTTTTTTCCAATAATAATAGTAGTAATATACCGAGTGATAGTAGTAGTAACCTCTAGAAATACCAAACTTAGTTACTAAGCCGCTAGCTATTTCCCCCCCAATATCCCCAATAATAACTTCCTATTGGTCCCGGTTAAGGCCAGTTTCCCCCTCCGCCTCCAGGTCGTAGTCGTAGTCCCGGTTAAGGGCAATTTCCCCCTCCGCCCCCTCCGCCCCCTCCGCCCCCTCCGCCTCCTAATTGTAGTCGTAGTCCCGGTCAAGGACAATTTCCCCCTCCGCCCCCTCCGCCCCCTCCGCCCCCTCCGCCTCCTAATCGTAGTTGTAATTCCGGTTAAGGGCAATTCCCCCCTCCGCTCCCTCTACCTCCTAGTCGTAGCCAATTTCCCCTTCCTCCTAGTCAAGGCCAATTTCCCTCCCAGCAACCATTTTCCCCTCGTAGCCAGCAAGATCAACAGGACCAACAAGTTTGATAAAGTTAGTAAAGCTGATTAACCCTGTAGCAATAAAGTAAAAAGAGAATTGTACCCCCTTAGAAAAGGAAGCAACCTTCGTCTTTATAGAGTTAAAGTCAATTACCGGATAACTATAGTATAACTACTGGAAGCGAATTCGGTATATAACATCTTATATTCATTGAAAAGATTAATAAGTAAATTCGTTAACGGAAGGTACAAGTTCGCTAGGAAGCTGAGCAACGCTGCTAGGCCGAATAACGCTGTTAAGCCGAAGAAGAGAAAGCTCGATTAGATTATAAAGATTATTTTAGTAAATTATTCGAAGAAGTTAAAGATAAGGCGAGATAAAAGAAGCAACGTAAAGAGGCTGAGCGGAAGAAAGCTACCTAGAATAAGGGCAAGCAACTTGAGCGGGAAAAGGCTACCTCTAAATTAATTAATTTTGGAGATAATAAGTTCGATAAATTCTCTAATTCAGACAGGGAACGAAAAGTAGGAGAGCGCCTAATTAAGAGGATTCTTACTTTATAAGAGAGTAAGAATAAAAATGGGAGGGCGCTACTCCTACTGTTATTCTTTAATAAACCGAAACCCAATACTACACCTAATATTTAGAAGCCGCCTACTATAGTTATAGAGAGCTAGACTAAGTATTTAGCAATGGGTATTGAAGGTATATTTCTAACTACCAAGGTTGGAGAAGGAGAAGATAATAATAATAACCTAGGTAATATTAGTACTCTTAGTCCTTCTAGTGCTCCTGATCCATCTGGTGCCTTTAATGATCTTAGCGACTTTAATACTCCTAGTCCCTTCGATAACGAAGAGTTTAGTCCTTCTAGTATTCCTGGTCCTTCTAGTATTTCCAGTACCTCCGATAACTAGGAGTTTAGCGACTTTAATACTTCTGGTCCATCTAGTCTATTTAGTCCATCTAATCGTAGTAGTAGCGGTAATCGTAGTAGCCGACAGCTAGAAACGCCTATTCGTAGTAGTAGTAATAGTAGTAGTAGTAGTAGTAGTTCAAGCACCAGAAATCGCCGAAGGTATAACGGCACTAGGCGCTTAGAAAATACATACCCAGAGTATTTCTATAAACCGACCTATACTAATTTCTAGAATCTTCAAGAAATTAGCGTACCTTTCCGTCTATAATATAACCCTATTACTAATAACTACTATTATATTCCCGATCCTAATTTCCTATTAACCCCTTTATATACCGATATTCCTCGAGGTATTACTATACTAAAAGATAATCAACCGTAATTGATAAAATCAACAAAGAAGTTAAATAGTTATTATTCTTATTCTATTACAATTAGTTCGCTAATTCTATTATTAAACGGACTTACGATTTCCAGATCGACCTTCGAAAAAGCAGGTTCATAAACCTTCATTAATATATATTAAACATTTATTGTACTTTAAAGTCTTACCACCTTATTATTACTATACAATCCTTTTTCAATAAAATTATTTTAAATAACCCGTATATTCTAGAATACAATTTTAATAATTCTAAAGATAAATCTATATTCAAATAATTTATCTCGGGCTAGATTAATAAACGTACTTTCAATCAAATCTACTCCTATATCACTAAATATATTAATTACAAAACTACCTTTAGTAATAAGGAATCCCTTACTTAATTTTACCTTAAGACTAAACTTTAGGATATATGTGTGGTATAATTTAAAGTTATTAAATTCAAACGGGCTATAAATAAAAACCGTTAACTTAGTAAAGTTTAAGTTACTAATAAGAACCTTCGTCGGGAAATACGCAAAAAGTACGAGAGCCTACCTTTCTCTCTAAGGTATAAAGGCGTTGAATGGGATCAATTCATCGATATACCTCTAGAGTTCGTACTTAAAGTCATCCAGCCAACAAAAGCGCCTAACTTGGATTACCTCGAAGACACCCTCATTAATACTAATGAACTGCCTCCTCTACGGAGGACTGACAATTACCCTATAGCTAGTAAATAGCGCTTTATACTAGCGGAAGAAGACGTATTTAGTCCAAGCCATCCTAACAACAGAGGCCATAACAACAGAGGCTACGACAGTACTAGGGGTGGCGGCCGTGGATGCTATAAGGATAGGACTGGCCGTAGCTACCAAGGTGGCTATATTGACCCCTGCGGTTATAACTAGGGATATAGTGCTAGTTCCTAGAGTAGATACGAGAGCTATAACCAAAGCTATAGCGGTGGCTATTAAAGTAGTTATTAAGGCTATTATGGCGGTCCATATGGTGGTTATTATAGCGATCCTCAACATGGCTATAGCGGTCAACAAGGTGGCTATAGTGACTATGGTGGCTATAGTGAACGAGGTGGATATAGTGGTTAATATAGTGGTTAATATAGCGGTTAACAACGTGGTTATGAACAAGACTATCAAGGTATGGGTATAGGCAGGGGTAATTACAATTAAGACTAGACCTATGAATATACCCCTATTCGGTTTAAAGTCGAACGCTAGCGCTAAACTAGTAGCCGTAGCTATCGCAATATCCTCAACAAAGTTGTACCGCCTCCCGACCTACGAAATAAACGTCGCAAACAACCGCTACCCAATAACCCTAATCCTCCTAGTCCTATCGCCCCTATTAGTAATTATAGTAGTTATAGTAGTCCTCCTAGTAATTATAATAATTATAGTAATTATAGTAGTTAGGGTAGCCCTCCCGCTAGTCCTCCCATTGGTTGTAGTAGTTATAGTAGTTAGGGTACTTAGAATAGTCCTTCCGGTGGTCGTAGTATTCCTCCTAGCCCTCCCGGCCCCCCCGGTAGTCGTAGTGGTTGTATTCCTCCCGGTGGTAGTAGTCATATTCGTAGTAGATAACCATTCTCGAAAGTTACTAATATTATTCTACCTATTCCTAGGCGCACTCGTATACCGACTACGTCGGTGGAATCTAAAAGTATATTCGTCGCTGCGATATTAGAGTCTAAGACTCTAGCTAGTATAAAGTCCTTGTACTTTTGAATTGTTAATTCTTTATATTGTTAGTTCAATATTTTTATTAGATTTATTCATATAATTATTGTCCGATTAATAATACTAGTATTATATTTGGAGTCCTAGTATTTTGCCCGGCATTTAGGTATATATTCAATGTCGTATACCTTAGGGCATTCGGAATTACGGTAATTAGCGACTCTTTTAGGGCATATATTCATTATCGTATATAGCCTTAGAGCATTCGGAATTACAATAATCAGCGATACTTTCAGCGACGCATTTAGGTATATACCCGATAGTTATAGATAGGTAGTTTGTTGATTATATTGTTCTCTATTATACTATTTAGTTCTTTCTTTTATTACTTAATTACTTTATTGCTTTATTACTTTATTAGTAATGTGATGGTGGTAATGTGATGGTGGTGATGTGATGGTAGTGATGATGTTGGTGGTAATAATAGTGATGGTGAATGTAGTCTGTGCGCGCGCTAGTTCTACGATTGTATCGGGTATTAATTTGGCGATATTCAATTAGCAAGACCAAAGTCGCAATTGCCTTTATAACATTTGCGACCGTAAGACTTCGTATATTAATGCTAATTGAAACGAGCAAGAGCCTTATAATCGTAATTGCCTTTTAAGCCTTTTGACGATTTAGCGTAGCATAGCGCCCTATGGTAAAATATTAAGCAATGGTAACTTGTCAACCAACGGTGAAATGCAACTTACCGTCAGCTGACTGTAATCTAATGGTAATAAACGTGGATACCGGTATTTCACGGTAAGGGTATTGTAAATGACCCCCTATATACCCCTAGCTAAGTAAGGGGTTGGCGTGTACTCGTATATTCTAGTAGTATTACAGTCCCGGCTATTACTACAGTCCCGGTTATAATCACGGTCCTGGTTATAATCACGGTCTTAAGTGTAACGACGGTCTTAATTATAATGATAGCTTTAATTATAATAACGGCCTTAAGAATATTACCGGCCTTAAGGATATTAACGGCCCTAACCATAACCGCTATAATTATTGTCGTAAAAGGAATCCTAACGACCACTTCTGCCTTAGCTACCCCAACGATTATAGCCGTAATGATAATTATAGTTATCAGCACGGTTATAACCCTTATAACGGTCGTAGCTATAATTATTATAATTACTAGTATTACTATAACTACCTTTAATATTACAACCACTTTTATTATTATAGCTACCTCTACTACGGTTACGATGCTTATAATCTCTTCTAGGTAACGGACTAAAGCTACTTTACTACGGAACCCCCAGAGTCGGATACCATCAGCTTACCGTTAGCCGACCGTAAGCTGCACCCATTATTGTATACTCCAGCTTACCGTATATGAACCGTCTATAGGTCTACACGGTAAGTTGACCTCTTACGGTAAGTTGATTTCCTACGGTAAATTGATATCGCACCTTCCTAGATATTAAATGGAGTATAGAGACTCTGGTTCAGTCCCGAAGTCGTGTATGATATAAAAAAACTAGTGAGGGAAGTTGCGAGCGAGGTGTATGAGCGTGTATTTATTTACTATGGATCTGCCTATTGCCTGCCGCCTACCCTGCCGTCTACCCTGCCGTTTACCTACGTACGGTCCACTACGCTGCCTGTACCCTGTACCCAGTACCTGCACTGCGCTTTGCACCGCACTGTACCCGGCCTAGTATATTGGCGCTGCGCCCCGGCTTAGGCAGCGATATTTATAAGTAATAGGAGGAATTGAATTTATAATAATATAATTATATGCGACGGATGCGATTGAATGCGATGCGATGTCCTGATTTAAAATTGAATAGTACTTAATTCCGTCCGAATTAATTATTCAGGGGTTAGTACACTAACTTGAGCCATACGACAAAATGCGATGCCATATATACGATAATCTCTAGTCTGGAATTGTAATCATATTAATTATTTAGGGTAATATTAATGTATTAACTTAAGCTATACGATAAATGCGATAAATATAATGCCCTAACTTAGAATTGTAGTTAATTCGATTATTAAGGGGTTAGTATATTAATAGTTATACTATGAAATACGATATTATACAATATATACGATAATCCTCCAGTTTAGAATTGTGATTATATTAATTATTAAAATAACGGTGTATTGACTTTAGCTATATGACGAATACTAATTTGGTTGGGAATAGGGGGATTTCCAATATATAGATTATTATAGGTCTCTATATACTATTTGTATATATTGCGGTTAGATAATACGAATTATTAGTAGAAAGAGCACTATATATTAGATAGATAATATACATTAATTGGTTTTGATATTAGATATTGTAAAGTGTTAATATTAATTAGTATTTACTACTATAATTATAAAGTAATATACTATAAATAACCGATTTACGAAATAGATTGCGACCTATAAATTTCAGTATATTAAGGGTAAGAGAACGAAAATAATGGTATACTATAACTATATTTATATAATATCCTAGTTTATTTAGACTAATCGACGTTAATAATCATTATTCTAATTATATTTATGAACTCTTAAAATATTTACAATATATACCCTATCTATAAGTAAAGTTGATAGACTAATAATTAATAGTTTACCCTTTTCGATAAATTATAATTCAAGCGCTAAATCTCTATTATTGATAGGCTTAATTCTAATTAGTATAAGAAAGATGTAGTATTCATCATACTATTTTTATTTGTAAGCGAAGCTATAATCGATACGGCCGATATTATTATCGTTAGTCCTAGCCCCAGCGCTAGGTTGGTAATACTTAATATAATAATTAATGCCGAAGGTATAACGTTGAAGGGTACTAACTACGGACTAAATATTGGCTTTTATTAATAATTTTTCTAATTTCAGTAAATTAGAGTATTTGAACGTATTTATAGGTAGTGTCTTTATATATACGTAATGTATAATAATATTAATATATATAATTTTATACTAACTTTATACTAGCCGTATATATACGTTATATTAAATATAGTGGCGAGACTCTTATAGTAATATCCTAATATAAATGCCGCTAATATTTAATTCCAATGTTTGGTAGCTGGCGCTCGGGGAGCTCGGTGTTTCGGTATAGAGGTATGGAGGTATGGAGGTATAGGCAGGGGATTAATGGGTACTATGGGTATAGTATAGGCATGTGCCTAGGGATTGGGGAACTGGGTATGTAGGATATATACGTACCTGTCTGTAAATGATATATGCTTGCTATACTATATATTGCCAGCAATAAACCTTGATATACTAGGGATATTGTAGTCCAAATTATATATTCTAAATAAGGTACGGCGAAATAGATTAGATATTGAGGTAACGGACAATAGTAAATAAGATTTAGTAATAGGGTGGTAAATTCGCTGTATAATTATTTCTATTAATTTACCGATAATATTCGGCTG